TGGCTCCACAGCGCCACCTTGAAAATTTCAAAGAAGTCCTATCGGAAGCACGTTTGACAGCGACGCAATTCGGAATGCATATAGAGCTGGTCGGCACAAATAAAAATTTCTCTCCGCTCCAAGCTCTAAAATGCAACACGGCTCAACTGCGCCCTCGCCGTGCGCGAAGGCCGACAAGCGTAGGGCGAGGACCCGTCCATCGCCGCTTGCGGCTTTAATTGTATTTGCTCTTTTTTCCTTTTGTACATCTGCATGTACGCGCTGGATGAATGTAGCCACGAATACTTACTTGAACACTGTCAAAATTATCCAGACCAACGCCAAGCTTTTGAGTTCCAGTGAATTTTATTTGGACCATTTCTTCTGCCTTAAAATGACGAAAACCAGTTACAAAAAGATGGCGAGACATCATGTTAGACATGCAGATGATGAATTTTAACTATTTATATTTTGATCTTTTTATTTCGATATTCCAAAATTAATCATACCCCAAGAAAGCGTCACTTTATGAGAAAATGCAGCTTCTATACCTTCCTAAATGCTCAGTGTTGTAATAAACTGAGAGCAGCTGACACAGGCGTTCTAAGAGCTTAGTGAGATACCGTAGTTGTGCATTGTGGAAAGAGGGTACAGTGGCCACAATACAAAGCATCATCAAACTGTACAAGAAGTTCCAAACTGTGAAGAATCTCAAAGGGAACACAAAAGTGAACGAAGAAGAATCCAAGAAACCAACATCACCTTGATGAATGTGAGCATTTCTGGTACCAACATGTACATCAGACTCTGAATAACGATGGACTCCATGAAGACCAACGAGGACTAAACTTCCACAAGACAAAGAAGAAAGCTGCTGATCATCAGTTCTGTGTTCGGATCAGACGAAAATCAAAGAAAGGAGAAGTTTTCAACTCCAAGAACTCCATCGACACGGTCAAACATGGTGAGAATGTGACGCTTTGGGGGAGTTTTCAGCCTCGTCAAAGTAAAACAGCGTCATGAGAAAAGAGGACGACATGAAGGTTGTTGAAGAAAACATCAGACAGTCTGCAGAAAAACTTCTAACAAAGATCTGAACAAGGTGTTGAAGAACTGGTGAACAGAAAACAATGTTGTTGGAATCCAGAATCTGTGGAGGAACCTGAAGACCAGAGCGATGAAGAGGAAGATTCAACCTCAAAGAGCTGCAGATCATCACAAAGAGGAACTAAATCCCGGTGGAGAGGTGAAGACAGACTGTTGGTGAACGTAAGAACTGTTTGATTGATGTAGACGGACCATAAAAAACACAGAAATAGTTCAAATTCATCCTGAACATCTCCAACGCAAAGTCTCACCATCTTTGGTCACATGTTCACATCATTTCCAGCCTGAAAAAAATCTACCAGTTGAATAAAAAAAATCACAATAAATCTAAATGTAGCATGAGAAAAACATGAAACATTCAGTGTGTGTCTTGCAGGAAGCCCTTCAGGACATGCTATGGGTGCAGCTGGTGTCTGGTATGTGATGGTGACAGCGCTGCTCTCCGTCGCAACAGAAAAACAATGTCCTCCTTTACTATACAAGTAAGTCTGCGGCGGTGCAGTCATTTATTTATTTGAAAAGATGCTACCGGTGGCGCTCACCGTCAGTGTTTCCTTTGTCAGACTGCTGCAGATGATCCTGTGGACGCTGATGATCCTGGTGATGCTGGGGGTCTGCATGTCCAGAGTCTACATGGCGGCTCACTTCCCTCACCAGGTCGTCGCTGGAGTCGTTACAGGTCGGTCCACCTTAAGAGCTAAAAACAACAGA